CTAAATATTTGCAAGTAAGCTTTAAATAAGCTTACAGTACACTGTTCAGCCCAAACACCATTGTATCATGTCAGGTTGTCAATGGTTAGGTTCCTTTCCCAACCATTACTAAAATTAGCATTCCGCTATTTAATGTTTTATTTATTTATTTTAAAAGCCAAATTAATCTCCCTGGGAGAACCTTGGTAAATTCTTATTTGGTATAGCCAAAATTTAAGATACTCAGCTACTCCCAAATGGCACTGAGGACTTCGAAGATCTGTGGGTCTTGGGCTTTTTCTTCCCCCCATTTTTCAAGTTGGGCTATTGAACAGGTCAGCTGGGCTCCTTTCAGTTTGAAAATGAAGCTGAAAAAGGCAACTGAACAGAGACTTCTTTAACCATCCTGGAGAGCACTTTACTGAACAAGAATTGGGTCAGATGATGCTAAAACCTGTCCATCCAAACAGTAAAGGTCACTTAAAGGTACAGAGAAGCTTCATTACTTAAACAAAATTCTTATTTTCTAGAGTTTATACCACATTTCTAACAACTTCTTGTACATTACTCAGTTGGAAAGTAACTGTATAGCTTAACATTCCTTTACAGACTTTCTTTGCTTACTAACAAAGCAACACTGATGAGTGGGGTTCTTTTGTTTTGAATATGTGAAGATGTAAAGGCATATCCTTAAGAAGTTAACTTTTTAATCCCTGCTTATATTCTGAGAAATTATTCCTTTTTAAGAAATTCTTGACAATATCTTAAAATCACATGCTTTATGATATAAGAGATTAAGAATTGTCTTGTTAGAGTTCAAATAATTTATGATCTTTTCCTATTCAAAACATGACCTACTTTCAAAAGCAATTTCATAACACTGGGAGTAGGGAAAATTAATCACAGATATTCCAAAACTTATTAGGACACAAAAATTTTTTTCTTCAAAGCACTACCCAGAGTCAGTCTGGAAACAAGTGATTTTTCCCACTCACATAAGCAGACAAGTAAGACTGCTCATGAGCATTTTGTTTTCTCTGGGTCACAGCCTATCGCTTTGGCTTGTTTAACTACTTTGGTATGGTTTTATCAGAATTAACAATTCAGTTGTGCAGAGATGTGCTCAGTTTTATCAGAATAGTTTTAGAAACCATTTCTTCTATAATTAAGTCTTTAAAGAATATTTTTTTAAAAAGGCAACTTCTTGGACATTTAGATGTAATTATTCTTAATTATATTTAACCACTGCAGTATTTTAACACCATGTTACCACCACACCATCTTTCAACAGTTCAAAGGGTTCTTTGTGGGATTTAATGCTGTAAGATAGCACCCTGTGATGACTCCAACTCCACTAAGTCTTCTTTGAGAGAAATGTGCTTAAGAAATAATTCATGTTGTCACATAAGCCATGGTTCTACAGTTACTAGAGTGGTCACATAAAATAGTATGGTGCCCTAGAGGTCATGAAAAAGCACCTCTATTTATTACCTCTATTTATTCTCTCATTGCCCACCGTAGGCCAATGACTAGTCCCACCAAAAGATAAGAAATTAATTGTATAAGTAATAGTTACTCAGCCTGGCTCCTTCTGCATACTTTCCTTTGAATACTGTCCTTCAGACAGAAGGGAAGTTGGCATCCTCTTGCCAACATGTATACCTACATATGCTATGGAAAAACTTCCAACTGAAACTACATTTAAAAAAAATAATAATCAGAACAATAACAATCATGGCACTTTCTCCCTGGTATTCCTCCAGTAATGTCATTGACGTTAAGTAAGAATGTATTTGGCATTTCATATTTTGTCATATTGAACAGGAGCAAGAGTGTCTTTTGCTTTGAGGCCTGTTTTTCCACAGAATCTGGAATATGGTTTCTAGCAGCCTTCACAGGAAATTAATACCAAGATAATGTAGTTTCTATATATTGATACATCTTTATGTGACGTCAGTTAACCAAGAAGTAAATCTCTGTTGTACGATCCTGGGGGGGGGGAAACAAACCAAAAAAAAAAACAAAGCGGTTTCTAACAATGTGGAAAATAAAAGCCCAGTAAGGGTCCCTACAAATGGAATGAACTATTAACAACAATAAAAGTGCTGTTTAGAAGCTAATTTGCCTATTCTGTTAGGTATATAGAAGCTTACTAGATATAATTGTAACTGCTGTAAGCGCATCCTGTTTTGAGAACAGAGAAAAATCTTTGACATTAAAGCAGCACTTATAAAATTGTAAGATTAATGTTCAGTTTTCAGTTACCTTAACAACTCACTGAGTTAAATAGAATATAAGGGTTAAAGCTGAGAAAGAAGTGAAGAGTAAGAACAAGGAGGCTAAAGAATAGAAAACCATTAAAGAGCATGGACACAATATTTATAGGAATAAGAGTTATGAATCAATCAGTGCTAGGAAAACAAAACACACCAACTTAAATGAGGAGTTTCAATGTTACTTTCAAGTTTGGTGACATTCTCTTTTCTCTATTTTGCTAAAATATAGTTTAATATAAATGCAAATAAAAGTACTTATCTGTTTTCCATGGGACTTCCCTTCAACCTGCTGTTTCCAACTGCAGTTTGCTTGGGATACCTCCATCATAGAAAGCCAATTGACATTAGACCCACTGGCAACTACTTATAATATAGATCACCTTTATGGACTTCACAGTGCACCATAACCAGATCCACAGTCTTCTCAATTCAAGTATCAATAATGACATTAGTAACAGCACTTTTACATGTATATAAATGACTTACTGGTGTAGAAGGAACTGTTTCCTACCTTCTCCAGAAAGCCAAATTCCATGTGACTCTCTGAAGTACTTTGCATAGCACAACAGGGATCCTTGGAACAGAAAAGCTCATACTTGTGTGACCTCAACTTCCCCCCCAACTTTTTCCCCTCTTTTTTTTTTTAAATACCTAGATGAAACTTTTAGTGATGGACAGCAGGACACGCCTACTAAGTAACCTGGAAATCTTGTATGCAGCACAATGCCCCATGTTCCTTTTCTTGATGATGGAGTGTTCAGGGTGTTGTTTGCAGTTGTTGAAGTGCATGAAATCAAACCCAACAATGAAAAGCTACACTATACACTTCAAAGAATATGCTACATATGGCTGTTTACAGATCCAATTAATGTTGCCTGAATGTTAATGCTAGAATTGATTTTCCCTTGGAATTCTGGCTACACGTAATTAAGCTGGACTACTGTAGTGACTTCTGCATTTATTAGCAATTGGTATAAGTATTTGGTAAAGAAAAAAAGGCAAAAAAAAGTAGAAAGCAGTATTTAAATAAATAGTATATGCTTCACTGTAAGAATATTTTACAGGATACACAAATATAGCTACTTGAATTAAAATTTGCACTAGTAGTTTTTCCTGATATAATATTGCTCTAAATGTCCATATGTTCTTGCCAATTTTACTTCAGAAGAAAAGGGTAAAATAAAACTTGTTTAATTAAAGCAGTAGTTGACATGATATTTGATTCTGAATGCTTTATGAAAAGTTATTTGGAACATAACATTTTATTTTTCTGTTTGTTATATTTAGCAGATTCTAACAGAATAATGGTTATCAATATGCAATTATTATTGTGGGTAACACTTGTTAGTCTCTTCAACCCACAGAAGAGTCAACTAGTAGAACATCAAATTTGTACACTTTAAACAGTCCCAAGATCTACCCCTCTTGGTGCTGAAGGCAATAACAGTGTTTTGAATTAGTTCATTACCAGTTGCTCTGGAGTATTAATTTTCTAATGATTTATTTCTCAGATCTACCTAAAGTTAACATTAATAAGGTGAAAGAGTGGTCTCAATTCAAAACTGGATACACGCAAATACATAAAAATGACAGATACCTTATTTCATGTTTCTCACTAAGTTTTTTGTGTAAAACTCTGGGAGGTTTCATGACAGAGATATGACTAGTTCCATTAATGATACCTAATACACTATGAAAATCCTTTTATATTATGCAAGGAATTGCATTCAGAAACTCAAAAAAATGTAAATATTCTAACATAGGTAATCTAAAAGAAAAGCTAGGCTTCTTGCAACTGGGTTATTTATACCAGAGTCTGCTTCAAAAAATGGTTTTAAGAGCCAGTGATAAGTAAGAGAGACAAAATGCAGCTACCTGGATAGTCAGTAGGAGGCCAATTTGTTATATATACTTGTTAAATTCATCAACATTGCTTTTGAAATTTGACCCTTGGTTCTCAATGGCAATGGATCATCCATACAGTCTCAGGATATTTGCCTTTCAAATAATGACAAATTAAGTATTGTTGTTCAGCAATCAACAAATTATAGCATCAATAATTATATTTCATTAGAATATTATCATATAGTTAAGAATACCCTTTTTTTCTTATCAAATACTTTCTGAAGAAAGTTAGGATTATACAACTAATTAGTAGAATTTATAAAAATAAAAACACCATCTTCTAGCAAAAAAAAAATGCAATATGGACTGCTGCAAACTCATAACATGATTCCCATGGCACTTTGGTTCATAATTCCAATAACAATTAAAAGTTACCAAAGGTCTATCAGTTTATCCTATCACAGAAACATTTCACGTAGTGATTTTAAAAAGGTTTTCAGTACTGAAACAGTATAATCCTTGAACTTTCTGCACTAATACTAATTTCTAAGTCAAAAATAAGAAGGAACCATTTAACAAACTGCCATTTTTAAAATTTTTTAAAACTTACCTGGTTATGGTAAGTAAGGATTCCACTACATCTGAAAAACAATCTATGTTTAATGAAATGTTAGAATTGATACTACCTAATAGTAGTGAAAAGGACAGAAGAGAAAAATCCAGCCAGATTTCAACTAAGCAATCTACTTCAATTACTATTTGTTTCCTGATCTTCAGTTCTTTTATCGAGTATTTCAGATTGTTCTCCTCCTCACCATCAACAGGATGGTAACCCATATTTTGTCCCTGAAGAGAAATACTAAAATTAAACAGTAAGCCCACAAGCTTAAGACTCCTTACCCTCTGGGTTTGCTACACTCCTCTTGCTTCTCAGTGTTACAGACACATGTGTAAACAACAGAATTTCCTGCATCCTTTTCTCATCTGCACAGTACTGGGACTTGGCCAAGAGGATTATTTACAGCATGAAGGCCACTCCACAGTAACTTGAAAAAGATTCTCATTGGTCAGGCTTTATCAAAACTAAAACCACATTTTTCTTTTACAAATCATTTACCCAAAATAAAACTTTTTGCCATATTGTTCTTCACCAGGCTTTATTCAGTCTTTTTGTCTCCCTCCCTTTCTAAATTAAAGAGTGTGACACCATTCCCCCAAGTGTTAAGTGTAAGCTTAAATTAATTATTCTAATCACAGTAGTTAAGCACAAGTACTAGTCTTTTCCAGGTTGGGTGGATTCTTACAGCCATACTTGCTCTTAGTATACCTCCTAAGTTTTAAAAATCCTATAATAGGATTAGTTTTTCCCTCTGTATGACTGCATATCATTTAGCTAATACATGTATTTTCATAATTGACCCAGTAGTTAGCCAGAGGCTGTTAGATATTATCATGGAAAACTGTAGTATTTTGACTATTAGAGATATGAAAAGAATATGGTGAGGAAAGGCAAAAGAATATGGACTTTGAAAAGCTCATTTATGAAAAATGAAATACCTTTGCACTAAAATGTAAAGTATTAAAATAGGAAGAAATATTTCTTTAAAGAATACAGCTCGAATATTTTTGTAACTGAATCACACGTCCCAAAGTATGACACCACTGTTCCTAAACTGATATCACAGGCCACTAAATGACAGGTCCTCCGGGTAGAAAACTGATACAGTTAGACACAGCTGAAATGATTTGCCATAGCTCTGAAAAGCTAGATATTTCTTATTAAAAAAACCTCAACATCTACAGAATGCTACAATTCCTGCCTCACAATCTCAGACTGAGAAGCTAGATTTCCTTACTCATAGCTTTAAGGAACATATCTGTGCTTCCCTGCTCACATCCCACCACCTTTTAACATCTGTATAGCAGGTAGTATATTCATCATGAAGAACAGCTACAGCTGCAGGACTCTTCACTTAAATAGGGGGTTGTCTGATGCTAGGATTATTTATTTTTTTAAAATTTATTTTAAGGAAGTGAAGAAGCAAAACCTCTCACTCCCATCAATTCCATGGGCATTATGTGACTTTGGTGACTCACAAAATTTAGTCCACTGCCAGGAGACAAAAGACATTCAACAAAAAAGGTAAAAAAAACCCTAATTTCTATTAAAACCAAAAAACCAAATCCCACAGCAAAAAAAAAAAACAAAAATCAAAAAAAACCCCACAACCAGAAAACTAAAACAAAGCAAAAACCAAACCAAAACAAACAAAAAAAATCAAACAGGCAAAAATCCAAAGCAAAAAAATAACCAGAAAAACCCCACACAAAACAATGCCAAACCAAATCAAGAGAGCACAAAACAAAAAAAAAGCACCACAAGAAAACCCCACAAAACAAACAAGGAAAAAAACCCCAAAACCGAATCCTGAGTCTGCATCAAATTAAAAACAACACAAAAAAACCCAAATCAAAACCATAATACAAGAAGACAACAGCTACTTTATGAATCTTCCATGGTTTCTTGAGCAGCTACATATATCTCATCTCCCACTAGAATATTCTCTGGCTACATTCCATTATCCCCACTGTAGGAAATCAATTAACATTTTAAAAATCGAGTTATGTACACATCATAACTTACATGGCACGTTATTTCTCTGTAACTAATCACATTTCAACTCATTCATGAGCTACAGAACTCACTTTCCACCATTCTTCCCTTACTGCCATCTCTGAATGCATCCAGTAAGTCTATTGTCCATACTCAAACAAATCCTTGGTTTCTAAAGAAATTGATGCACATTCATTTTATCTGAGAGAACATTAAGTAATTTTGATCACAACTGAAATATCAAGTGAAGGTCTGTAAAGGAGAATTTATCACTCAAAAATAATAAATAAATACATAAATAAAAGTGTTAATGCACCATGTGAAGGAAGTAGTACTGTTGGAAATACTGCTAAGTATATATTGCATTCTTTGCCACAGATGTCTTAAAAATGCCTAAAGCTTCTATTTGTTTCTTTTTTCTCCTGTATGTCCACTTAAAAAAAAAAAAAAAAAAAAGAAGACCACTCTTAGCAACCCCTTTTTGGGAAGGAAAACAGTATTTTTCAGAAAAAAAGGCACAAAACAGAATTATGGATGAGACAAATAGTAAAGCTATAACCAAAACTCAAGTTTTATTCTGTTACGCTCTCTGGTAATAGCTAATTCTTGGATGAAGGTTTATTCTGTACCATTTTTAAAGATGCATTCAAATTTCATTTAAAAATTTCACTGTAAGCTTGGGAAGTTACCATGTAAAATCATACAGACCAAACTATGCAAATAACATGTTTTATAATCTTTTATCAACTTTGATAAGAATATCATATCAAAACCAAAAAAACACCAACAGAACCAAAACCTTTTTGTACTGAATAAACTTGTGGATTGCAACTCTTCATGATGCTAGGGAACTACTGGGGAAAGTACTATGATGTGCTATTAAGGAAAGGTAGCAAGGAACCTGAAAGACCTATGGCGTTTGATTTGATAAGCAATTTAAAATGTTTGTTGAAAAAACTAAGTGGAGTAATTAGCTAATTTTATACTTTTACTTGCAAATATAGTCTTCCTTCCCAGTCTCATCTGACCTTTGTGTTAGGCCTATCACTGTAATAATTACAGAACAGATGCTGCCAACATGTTAGCTCACTAACACATGACCATCACATAGAGAACTGAATTGTCTTCCTAGAGATCTCCCGGTATGTAAACAATTCTTAGTAAGTTCATATTAGGAACATTAATACACTTACCAAGAGGATGAATCTGTGGTCATTATTTTTGTAAGAAAAATGTACTGAGAAAATATGAAAAAGACTGTAGACAGTATCAATAACCTAGAACATATGTTTTGATGCATGGCGCTAGCTCCAGCCCTGAGTAGCGAGGGACAAAATCCCTTCACTTTTAGTACATATAAACTTTGGCAGCATGACTGACCTGCTTTTTCCAGATCCACAGAGAAGCATTAACACAACACGAAAGCCAAAATTTGAATTTTTAAGTGTCAAGACCCATTTCCTTTGAGAACACAAAGGAAGAGACATGATCCTTTTCATGATTACTGAACCAATGAAGAATATTATTTAAATTTTTCTCAGAGGAGAAGGTTAGAGCAACTCTTTTTCAGAATACACAAATTAACAATATTTACTATATTGATGCAATTTCCTTAGCAGAGATAAGAAATTAAATGGCATTACTGTTCAAGCAAAAAACAATAAAACACTTAAAGCACTAATAGCAATAAAATAGAACAATCCTATTAACTAAATTGGAAATTGGAGATGAGTACAAAGCACTAAAATTGTAACCTTTGAAATTGGGCTTCCTCCATTCTAAAAAATGGCCTAAATATGCTAATTCTGCTGTCTTGATGAAAATTGTTTTCAGTCTTACTATTATTATTTCATATAATTCCACATAATTTTATACAAGCAAAGCTATGAACATCAAAATGCATTTGAAAATGTAAGGAGACAAGGTCATCCTTTACTGAACCTAAACCCCAGACACACTCCCTTAGAAGATTAAAGTAAATAGAAGACAAATGACAGTAGAAAGTTACCTTCGAAGCTTCGAGGCACAAGGAGACGATGGGGGCAAAAAAAAGTCATATAATTTTTAATCTTGTCTCTGCAGCAGCAAAGCCTAAACAAAAAAGCAAGCCTATGAAGGTATCGTAAGTCAGTAACCAAAACCACCCAAAATGAGATACTGCCAAACCTTGTACCTAGAATAATCACAGAAAAGTATCACAGAGTCTTCATGGTTGGAAGTGACCTTTGAGATCATAGAGTCTAACCATACACATACACATACACACATACATACATACATATACACACACACACACACACACACACACACACACACAAAATCCAACCCAACAACCTCAAGCACTAGAGCATACCCTGAAGTACCATGTCTACACATTTCTTAAATACCTCCAGAGATGGTGACTCCGTCTCCATGGGCAGGCCATTCTAGTGCCGGACCACCTTCTCAGTAAAGTAATCCTTCCCAAATCAGCATGGAAAAACCTGGTGCAGTTCTGTTTCTTTGATACACAGACCAGGAAGATGATACAATTAGCATAATTCTTTTTTAGAATTGCTCTCTAAAATTAGAATTTCAAAATATTTTCCCCCCATTTTCTTCTAAATGCTAGCATGTACTAAATAAACTGTTGTCAAAAAGTATTGTTTCTTAGCTTTTCAGTTCAATAGTGTTAATTTGACTTTAACCACTGATAATCCTAACCTAAAAACTTAAGTTGTGATCTTTGAACAAAATAATCATCACATAACAAGAGTATTTATCATAAAACCTTCAAAGCAGGCAACAATAGATTACACACGGACATAACAAGATTATACGAATAAAACCTGTCTCCTACTTAAGTAACTTTAAAACAGAATGCAAAATTTCTAAGCAATATAAAAAAAAAAAAATTGAAAAACTTATTCTAGCATAGCGACAAAGCATAGGAAGTTTATCTAGAGCTAATACTTTGCTCAGCTTGTTAGTCCAACTCAGATTTCACCTGTGCAAGTTAAATTGATTCACAGGTGCAAACAGTTACAGCAGACTAATTTAGAAAATTTGTCTTGTTTAGGTCTGTGCTCCTGACTGAAGTTCTTTTTATTAGAAGAGTGTTTATTAGAAGAGAAACAGGAAAAAGCTACATATTACGTTTGCCTGTCGTTAGGCTATTCAATACTTCATAGCACATGTAGCAAACTTGTGACAAAATTACTATTGTTCTTAAAGAGTGACTGTAAATATAAGCTTCATTCTCTGCTGTTTATTACGCTTTGTAGTGAAAATTAACACATAACACCTGAAATTGGATTGCTCATTATAAATAAATATACTTCAACAGGCCTCAGCTTGGCAGAACTACC